AATTAAATTGTAGCTATATGTAATTTTAGAAGTGACGAATACTTCTTGCTTCCGAAAAGTTCACGAATGTTCTTGGAATTATTTGGTAATGAAAATAAAAAAAAAAAGAATAAGAAATAAACGCGATAGTATTTCAGCTTATGTACGGAATCTGTTATGAAAGGCGAATCGGTATTGGTATTTTGTAGCTCAAAAGCAGAAACAGAAAAGCTTGCCCTAGCTATATCGCAGCATTTTGAAAAATATTTTAAATCGAGCAATAGTGAAAATCTTATTTCATCTTTTAATATACAATCATTGAAAACAGTTAAACACGCATTTCATCATGAAATACAATTTGTAGATGATATTTTACGAGAAACACTACCACATGGAATTGCATTTCATCATGCTGGTTAGTTTTGTTAGAAAAAATTTTTCTACTTTTAGCACACTTTTTTTTCAAGCTTCATTGTTAAATGAGAATGCAATTTACTTACACCTCTTCTTCCTCTCTTGATCATATTCAGAATTTTGAATCAATATCGAAGTGTGGAAGTACCTTATAATAATTTATTAAAGTTAAGTCCAGTGAATAATTTATTAAAGTTCATAATTTTCGAAGTTTGCAAATTTAGTCATTGCTAATAATCAACTCTTTTGAATCTATTAATTTGAACATTAAAAGGGCACAGTGTTTTTTCTTCAAAAATTTTCCTCCCTAACTTCATTTTTATTTTTAGTTCTTTTTTCAGTTGTTTACTATTGTTTATTGCACTCTGATAACATTGCCGATAATTGGCATAACTCTTAGTTATTTTTTACACCTTGAAATAGAAATGCTATATTTAGATTTTGGGAATATTTATAAAATTTTAAATTGTTCCAAATTTACTCGAAAAATTATTTCATTTTTAATAAAAAAATAAATAAATGGAAAAGAATAGTTTATAATTTTAACAGTACATTCTCACACATATATACACACTTATCTCTGTGCTTATTATATAAATGTATGTGTCCGGTATACCAATTATTGATAATGTCATCTTATAACAATTGAGGAAACGGTTTGCTTTTTGAGAGCATTGATTAAGTACCATTCATTGAATAAAGATGAGAGCGCATTGTCATTATTATTAGCGCATTGACGCTTTGTTATTTATGAATTCATTTATTTACGTAACACTTATTTACTTATTTACTTGTTTACCTAATTTTATTCCAATTGCCTCATTTATGTTCCTGAATCATTCCTCAAATTATCAACATTCATTCCTTTTATTCCAATATGATTTTCTTTATCCAATCTTCTCATCTATTTCTCTTTGATGATCTTCTTCCTAAAATGCCTATCTCTCACCATTTCTACTTATATTGCCGATATCCTCCATTTATCATTCAAAATAAAATTATCTATCCTTTTCAAAAATATATTCGTGGATAGGAAGCAAATTAGTACACATTCTTTTCTCTAGCTATTGAAATCCGAAATATGTTAAAATTTTCAAAAGAGCAATTTATGCCAATTGAGAAATGAATGATAATCTCTTTTGATTGATGAAATTGGCAATAATTTTCCACATAGAATCTAACAACACAATCATAAGAAATAGTAAGTAAAAGATAAAAGTAAACAGTAAATTTACTGGCAACAAGACTTCAAGATATCACTTTTATAGCTAATATTCTAGCAATTTGAAAGGATAAATGATTGATACGTAAAGTGAAGTGAAAAAAATAAAAGAAAAAAATAATGAAATATTTTAGGTTTAACCGTAGAAGAACGTGAAAGTATTGAGAATGCTTTCTGTGATCAATCATTACGTGTAGTATGTGCCACTTCAACTCTCAGTTCCGGAATAAATTTGCCAGCTCATCGAGTAATTATCAAAACACAATTGTGTGGACCCGTAGCTCTTAATGGTTTGACATATATGCAAATGATTGGTCGAGCTGGACGTTTGGGACAAACCGAAAAAGGTAATAATTTAGCTAATTGTGGCAAACATGATTTATACCATAGGTGAAGTTATTTTTTTGAAATTTTGAAATCTGTAGAAAAAAAAAATACTGTACTATTCATATAAAAGATTCATTGATAAAATTTTCATTAGTAATTCATATGAGTATTGATCCTGATTATAGTGATAAATGAACGAATTATATCAATCTAGCTAAAATTTTTATAATTTTTAAATTCGGGAAAACTATCAGAAGTATTAAAGAAAGAAAAAATGAAAAAAAAAACTATAAAACAAATTAAGTTTATCCAATCATAAGCAAAACTTCTGTTAAATTTATCAAAATGACTTTTTATAAATTTATAACAGTTATTTGATCTAACTAATCATACTATCATATTATCAATATTTTTTTTCTGTTAACTAATAAAACTACTTGAGAAGAAAAAAAAGGTATAAATCGATGAATGAAAACTTGTTTCTCAAAAAATTCTGCATTGAAATTTAATAAATTCACTATGTAATTCATTTGTATATTTTCCGATGATTTTCTAAATATTACTATTATTCATACATTAAATGGGAAAGGACACGAGATTGTTAATTTATTTTGACACTTTAGAATATGGTTCGAATGAATTGATTTGAATGTATGACTAAGCTAAGGTGCAGTTAATAGTTTTCTTCATAATTCACATTTTAATTATTTGTTCATCATTCAGCACCGTTCGTATATAAACAATTTTTTATTTACTACTTGCCTAAGGTTACTTTTAATTGATGTTAATCGTGAAAAATTCTTATCCCTTCCATTCATGTTTTCTTACAATCGAAATAATTCATTAGCAAATGCATGAATTAATATGGTTGAGATTGATGTCGATGATCATTTGAAATCATTTCACTGAATTGAATTCTTTAAACATCCTAAACAATCTTAAATTTATTTTAGCATATTCAAAAATTATTTCAAGTGTTGAAAAGTTTGCCATATCCAGAAGTTGTGACAATTAATAATTAAAATAATCGTTTTCCTAAATTCTTGGAATAAATGCATTTTTTTGCTGAAAATTACAATTTATAAGGAAATATCGTTTCGTAAATTAATATTGAATTAAAATTTGAAAAATAATTATGTATCTTTTTATAATTATTGTTTTCAAATTATTCTTATTATCCTATATATCAGACTAAAAAATATTTTAAATTTGTGATTTACTCAAAATAATGTGAGACGATATTAAGGGTATACGACGGTGTATTTTTCTTATAATTCACTTAATCTAATAGCTTACATAATTCAAATTGGAAAACAATAAATGGAAGAGGAAGCGAATATGAGAATAGAAAATGTTGTCTGTTAATTTTACTCTCACTAATGATCTTTGCTCGCTTTGAAATGACATTTGAATTTCTATTTTGTGGTAGCAAAAAAAAAAACGTAATTTGTATCTTTCGTAAAGCTAGAATACTTTTTGACCTTAAATACAAAAGTTGACCGTATCATATATCTCAGTAATTGAGAAGTAATATTGTTCATATATTGTAAAGGTTAAAGGTCATTCAAATTAGAGAAGGATGTGAGAAAAAAAATGAGATCACACAGTAGCTACAAGTGATTGTTGCTGTTGAAGCAATTATGGTAACATGATGATGATATCTATCCATTTACTCGAAATTGTTAGCATGTCATTTCGATTGCTTGAAAGAAGGAGGATATATGCTGGAGATTAATTTATCATCCAAAGTGGATTTGGCACATTTAATTTTCTTCACTTCCTCTTTCTGTCTCCCTTTTCCCTCTATATATAAGGTGAATGAATGCTAAAGCAACAATTCATTCCTTTTCAACCAATTAAATTGCTGAAAAATTTATCGAAATTAGAATCTTAGCTCTGTCTATTTCAATAATTAGAAATTATACCAAAATTTGTAATCTATTGTAATTTTATCAGATAGAGAAAAAACAAAACAAAAATTTAAGATGATATAGGACTAGATTTGAGATAGACTAAAGTTTTTGTGAGGGAATTGTTTCTAAGAATGTTATTTGAAAAATTAATCAAACTTTTTTTTTTTTTTTTTTTGAAATTCATACTCAAAAAAATGTTAGCGATGAAGTTTTCATTCAGTGTCATAGAATTTTGTCTTCTCAAGATGCTTACTTAATTGGACAGAATTTAATTGCTAGCATTGAAATTGTGATAATTGGAATAGTTAGTGTGATATTTTGCTAACATGGTAACTTTTTATAAGTTTACAATATTTGTTAATTTTCTTAACTAAATTTTATGCAAAAATGTTACAGTATTTTAATGTTCTATATCGTTTCATTCTTTTCCCTTCAATAATTTCGATGATTTATAGTTATGCAAGTCTTAATATTTCAAGTTTTAATTAAGTAAAACTGATTAGATTTAGAAATTTTGCGAAAAGTACTTAAAATTCAAGATTTTTTTTCTTTTATTTTAGGATAGATTGTAGAAATTATTGTCATAACATCTTCTTTTCCTTTGACAATATGACATTTGATCTAAGTGCAACTGTGAAATTTGAATTTACAAAACTAAAACTTTAGTCAGCAACTCGTAATTTTTTAAATGGGAGGAAATAATTGAAATGCGAGTGAAATTTATTATTGAAATGCAAATCTCATCGAGAACACATTTAATTATCAAAATTATACAACAATCATTTAATATCATAAAAAAATATTACTACATGATGTCCTTAAGGACTTTAAATAGATTAACTTAAAATCAAAAATATTTCTTAGCTTTAATGGAATAAAATTTGTAAAATTTAGAAATCACCGAGCTATTCGTTTTTCTTTTTTCAAAATAATTAATAGGTGAATGAATAAATTTGCTGCTAATACTTATAATGAAATTGATTGATTTATGTTAAAATTATATGATTATGGTGCAATAACTATAATATTATCATTTATAACTTATAATATATAACATATCACATAAAAAAATTATAGAATAATCATGTTAATAATATGACATTCTGAAATTATTTCTATATTTTTTTTCCTACACTAAGTTAATTTTATTGCCTAGTAGCATTGGTATTAGTGTTTACATATTGTAAATTATCATATTGATGATAAGCAGATAGTTTAATGTTATTAGTACTATGATTATTATTGTTATTATCATTATTATTTGAAATACCAGGTGAGCATGCTTCCACCGATTTGTCATCCTCATTTGATTCCTTATCAATTTCACCATTTTCCAAATGTGCTGCTGCTTCAAGGCTTTTCTTATGCATTCCTAACAATACAAGAAATGCTTCTTTAAATGATTATTCAAGATTTAATTAAATTATCATTTAGCATATGATTAGATGAAATAATTTTATTTAGTTAAACATAATTACGGTATAGTCAAAATAATTATTTGCATTTCATCAATTTTAATTTTAATTTTTAAAAATTTTTGAAAAAAAAATAAAAATTACCAAGTATCTATGGTAATTTTATTAATATTATTAAATTGATATACCTTAATTTTATCTAATGTTAATCAGTTAAATCTAATCAAAGTTTTACAATAGTTTTGAGAAAGAAGAAATAAATAAATTATCTTTGTAATTCAATTTTGGAAGAAAGTTGAATTTATGAGTAAAAAAAAAAAAAAAAGACAAAATTTTATAAGATATGAGAGTAGTATATGATATAGAAAAACCATATGGCAGCAATTGCGTCAGTTTGTTTTTATCTAATTACAGTCAATATGTAATGCATTAATTATGATGTAACAGTTATAGAATAAGATAGATAATCATGATATTAATTAAAAAAAAAGAAAAATAAAACGTGTTTATATTTTATTTTTAGTTCCATGATAAATAGATATATAATGATATTTTTCAAAATAAAATGAAATATTTAAATTTCTGAATTTTTTTTTTACTTTCTCTCATTTTTTTAAAAATATATATTATCTTTTTTCACTTTTTTCTTCCTAAATTTAACAAAATAATCAAACAAACCTAAAAGCCATGGAGCAGTAGATTCATTTGGATTTTCCGATGATCGTGTAATTGTTTCTGGTAGTGGTAATGAATGTCGAACCATTGCACCGTATAAACCATATTCTGCCATTATTGTACTTTTACCCCATGTTTTTTCAGTTTTTCGCCATTTAGCTCGACGATTTTGAAACCAAACCTAATTGAGAAGAATTACAAGAAAAAAAAAAAAAAAGCATTTTTCAATCTTTTCTTTTTTTCTTAGAAAAAAATTAATTTTTTTTTTTAGATGAGAATGAAAAAAAAAAAATTATCTAAATTTTATGAAAAATTTAAACGAAACGCAAAATGTATCAAAAATGTACAATGATAGATGATAATACAAATTGATTAGCTAACATTGTGTCATATTTTTAATTTTTTTTTTTTTAAATAAATTACCTGTATCCGATCTACAGCAATTTCAGTTTTCATAGCTAATAGTTCACGAGCATACATATCAGGATAATGAGCTTCCTAAAAGAAAAAAGGAAAAAAATTGCTGGTTAATTAGTTAATTTTACGGATGTGAAAAGTGTGATTTAGAATTAATAATATGGTAGTATCGACGAAATAATATCGACGAATATTTTAAATTTAGAAAATAAACATATAATAAGTATAATATGTAGCGAAGAAACAATAGTTTAATTTAATTTTATAGAAATGAGCTTTTGAATTGTTTAAGTTGAAGGCCAAAACAGATTAAGGAAAGAATTGATCAAATGCAGTAATTTATTATAAAATGAATATGAAAATTTTTTCTTGAACTTTTCGCTTATCTTTTTGACGCGAAATTTGGAATGCTTTACTTTCACTTTTTGAACTTTGTTGTGCAAGATAAATCATTTAAAAAATGACAAATTAGGATCTAATAACATTAATAATACTAATATAATAGTAATGATAATAACAATAACCAATAGCAGCACCATGATAATAATAATAATGGTAAAGATAATAATAATGATAACAATGGTGAAAAGATCATTGTTTTGATCTTGCTAAAAGTAAGTTTAGGTAAAACATTTATTTCGATCTTTTTTCCTTCCGTTTTCTTGGTCAGCTATTCTAAGGTAGAAATTATTGATGAATTTAGTGTATACTATTAAATTTTATTAAATAATGAATTATTATTATGTCAACTAAATAAATTAAAAATAAACAACAAAACAAAACACTTTAGAAGTGTGGACATGTGTTAGGGCCATAAGAAAAACTAAGATTGAAAAATTAGTATTAAAATTTGACAATAAGAGATTTCGAGTAAAATTTCAAATTTTCATTGAATGAATAGTGATGAAAATAATTTTAACCATACTTGGAAGGCTTTCTCCAATTCATCTACTTGAAATTGCGTGAAAATTGTTCGATGACGGCGTTTTTTTCTTTTTGAAATAGATTTTTCATTGCTTGATGAGGGAATACTGGTTATAGCGGTTGATGCTCCAAACATTGAATTGGACCGGATACTGGCATAATCTATTCCGGACATCCCTGTCTTATCAGTAACAGTAATAAGTAAATAATTAACAAAAAAAGTTAACAGTATAATTTATTGTTTTACCTGCACCATCTATTACTCCCACAAAACTAAAATTACTAATTATAGTTGGTTTTCTTTAATCCCTTTTCTTAAACATTATTATTTAATGATATAATAATTGAACCTCTTTGACATAAAATCAAGTAAAAAGGAATCAAATAAATGATTGAAGCAAATAAATAGATAAGTAAATAAGCAATTACAAGAAGTCAATATATCGAATAGTGGACAAGTAATTCATTAAGATAAATGAGGATAATAAAGAAAATTGATTACCCTGATTAACTGGTTCATATTGGACTCGATCAAATGGAGTTTGTGACATTTCCATAGTAAATAATTGTGGTGCATTATGAGGAAAAAATGGTGCCGGTTGATTGGTGCAGTATTGTGGTGTAGTGGTAAAATAGGTTGCAGCAGTACCTTGCTGCATATCACGAGCTGCTGCTAATCCCAATAAACTATGAATTCCAAACGACATTCCCATCCGTTGAGCTGCAGCAGCAGTACTAGTAACTGTATTATCAGTTCCGTTTGTGGCTAACTGATGTGTCATACTACCTAAGCCGGTTGTTGAATTTCCACCAATACTACAACAACCACCATTACCACCATTGCTACCACCACCACCACCAAACATCGCAACCGATATTGTTTGCATATTCTTCCTTCCTTGTATCTTTTTCGTTTTTGCTTGAATACTAATAATATACACTTAGGTTATAAATGGACAAATAAACAAGCAAGCAAACTTTACACTTCTTAAGGAATAAATAGGAACTAAGATGTCTAATGGTGGTAAAGTGTCATCGTTTCCTTTATTATCCTTTAATTACCGTATGGTTAAAACGGTATTTGAAAGGGCGGAGCGGAAGCAACCAACCCGAATCATTTCAATGCTCTTTTATAGCCAATCAAATTGGGTACACCTCTTTTGTTCATTTACATAAGGATGTAAGTATAGTTATGTTATATATACCGTGTATTATTTAGCAGATAAGGTAATAAAAGAAAAAGGATGAGTTAAAGGAAATGAAGAGAAAGAGAGACAGAGAGAGAGAGAGAGATGAGAGAGGAAATCTAAATTTGAAACATATAAAGAGTACATTATGCTGCGTAAAAATGCCTTAATAATTTGAGCAAGTATGAAAATTAAATTGATTGTGTAGCATAAGAGAGTATTGTCATCATCATCATCATCATTAATACAATTAGAGATAAGCAAATATGCTAGCATATAGCAATAACAATTTATATAATAATGATAGATTATAATAAACGAGCAATAATATAATAATAATAATAATAATAATAATAATAATAATAATAATAACAATAATTTCAACCAATATCTATCATATAATAACAACCAATATCTATCATATAATAGGAACATAATAACAGTAATGACAATAACTTCAACAAATAGTAATAGCAATAGCTTTATTACTAAAGAATATTAAGAAGAAACAAGTGTATATATGATTGGAATCAATTGAATGCGGAAGAAAAAAAGGCATAAATTAGACAAATCTATGAGTACAAAATGTTTTATAAAGCCCATAAGTGTTGAAGAAGTTCAAAATGCATTAATTGAATTGGCTCTTTTACATTTATTTTCATTGCTATTGCTAATGTTAACGTTTAATTAAAGCTATTAGTTGAATTTAGTAGGTAAAATGATTCATCAAAAGACAATAAATCTCCATGATTCATCGATATTAATTTTTTTTTTGATTCAAATTATTTCACATGTTTAGATTTTTACCTTATAGCTCTTATAACTTCAACATTTTGTTTGTTTGTTTTTTTTTTTTTTTTTTTTTTTTTTTTTGAAAGTTTTAATTATCATTTTATTACAAATATCTAAGTAAATAGTTTAGACTTAGAGAATAGAAACATATGAAGTATTGAAAATTGTTGGCTGAAATTGCTATTGTTTTTTTCCAGTAAACATTTTTATCAAAACACATTTATCAAATTTATCAAAATTTATCAGAATACTTTTGCAAAAAAAACACAGAATGTTACTGAATAATTTAGAAAGAATGATAAGTTGAATACATCGATATGAAATGTTGCAATTTCAGGTGAAAGTATTGTAGTATGTAGCAAGAATCAGCTAGATTTAGTGCAACGAATTATTCAACAAAAAGCAATTTTTGCTCGTAGATGTGAAGTTCAACGACGACGAATTAAGCTAATTATTGAGGTTATTTGAGCTGTGTAATCTTTCTTTTTTCTTTTTTTTTTGTAATTTTTTCATCATTTTCACTCGTATTTCGGAAGTTCGACAAATTGAATTAGGTTAATTATTGAGTTTATTTGAATTTTGCGATTTTTCAATTTTTTTTTTCTACTTTATTCAGTGATTCGTAATCATTGAAATTCGTAATCTTATAAATATTAATCAGTAAGTAATAATTTATAATAACTGGTAATTGTTTTTATCAATTAAATAATCAATTATGATTATAGGCGATATGCAGTGATCTTTGTAGAGATGAAAATGATCTAGAAAATTTACTATCATTATTGTTTTTCGAAAGAAAATTAACGATAAAGGATGAGCTCAATTTTCTTATTACAAGAAAATTAATTTGTCAACAAAAAAATCACGGTATTAGTTTTGTTATTTTCAAATTATTAAATAAAATTATTTTATTTTTTCCAATTAATAATTTGTATCATTGAGCATAATAAACATTTGAATAACATTAATGAAAAGATATTACCAGGCATTTTTTCTCATGCTTTTTAATTCGCAATAATTTTTTGTTTATTTTATTCTATTTACAAGTTAAAATGATACAATTGAAGGACTCTGCGGGACTCAATTAGGCCAAGCCGTGTTTACATCATCGCTGTCACCTGATATTGCATTACAAGTTTATGATGATCTCGAAAAGGCGACACGTTCCCTTGCTTTGGATAATGAGCTTCATTTACTTTATTTGGTAATTTTTAAAGTCTTTCCCATTTTTTTCCAAAAACTATCAATAATTTCAATAGCTTTGAATTGATGAGTAGTGAAGTGTGAAATACTGAAATAAGTTTCTTGAAAAATGAGAATTAATTTAACTGAAAAGCATTATTATCAATGATTAAAGAGAAAAAAATTGTGTTGTTGAATTTTTGCTATACATAAAATTTTATATTAATAGCTAATAAACTAATATGACTAGATGAATAAGTATAATTAATCATGTCTGTATCAATATCATTATCAAATTACAGTTCCATAATTTAAGGTAACACCACTCCATAGTGATTCCATTTGGATGAATTATATCGATTGGAATGTTTACTATAATATTTGGTCTAAATTACCTACCAAATTACAAAGAGTGGGCAAAATGATTGGTATTCTTGATAGTTTCATTCTTGGAAAGATACAAGGTAGACAAGCATCCAAAATAAGCAATATGCAGGTATTCATTCAAAATTACTTTTTCTATTCCAAACTTAAATAATCTTATTTTGCATAACAATTTCAGTTATATTTGATAGTATTTACACGATGATACGATAATAATATTTCTGTCAATTTAAAATATAAACGATAAAAATTTAAATTGCAATCGTTTCTTGACAAATAAATCACTTGAAAAAATTACATATCATATTATAAGTAGTATTTTAGCTAATCATTTTTTTTTTTTTTTTTGCAATACAATGATTTATTCTTAATTTTTTATTCTAATAACTTATGTCATCTGCTATCAATCAACTTTAACTATTATATGCTTTTGTTTGTAAATTTATTTATTTTTTCTTTTTATAAATATTTCAGGTGCATTTACGTTTTCTTTCCGCATTAGCACTTTACGATCTGATAAGAGAATATTCACTTGGTGATGTTGCTCGACGTTTTCGTATCAATCGTGGAGCATTGCAAACGTTACAACAACAATCCGCTACATATGCCTGTAAATTTTTTTGTGATTTAAACTGAAATTTCTTTTTATTATTTTCTTTTTTGAATTTTCACTATAATTTTTCAGTCAATTTAAAATTTATAAGTATTATATGTAAAATTGTTACATATAAATTTCTCATTAACTACCAATATGCTTTATTGATCACAGTAATAATAATAATATTAATAGAAAACTAGATGAGAATGGGAGATAATCCAGTTTTGTTAAGTAAAATTAGTAAATCTGATTGGATCAGATCAGATTAGATTGTTCTTTCTCATCTCTTAATTAGATCATTTAACAAATATGAAGAATAGAAATTAGTTTTTGCGGCTTTTCTTTGTTAATCCTTAATTTTGACACAAACAAGGCACTTAAGTAAGGAAAATGAAGCGTTCAAGTGCCCTCATTAAAACGTTACTCAAATGAACAGAAATCTTTGCTAATTGCCTTTGTTATCGTCAATAACTGTTGCCTAACTTTCTCATTCTTTTTCTCTTCTTTTCATCATATCTATCATAAATTTTGTCACAAATTTTTAATCCCTTCAACTTCTAACTACCGTAATTCGGCCTCAATTTGATGTAGTTAAAGCGCAACTTTCCATACTAATTATTATCCTTCATTTTTCTCTCTCTCTCTCTCTCTCTGTCTATCTCTCTATCTCCTAACTTGTATTAGTATGGTAAAAGGAGGGAGAAATTGGCCAAATTAGGGAATTTTGTGTTTCTAACGATTTTACATGAATTTCAAATAGGGAGAAGACAAAATTACTTTTGATTGTGGGAAAATTAAAATTATAATTCAAAATGTAATAATCGTACAACCAAAACAGACCACAAGTTTTGTAATTAAAGAAGCATAAAATTAATATTTAATCATTATTAGCATTCATAATTATTAATGATTAGGAATGATAATATCACTAAAGAACATGAAATTAAGAGTGAGAACAATGATTTATCAGTGTTTAGTGTTATAATATATAATGTTGATATAGCTTTAATTATTATGATGTGTTAGTAATTAATTACAATTGCTGTGTTTTTATTTTTGTTTGTCTAGGATAGTGTAGTTTAATTTGTAGTAAAATTGTTTTTATTCGTATTTAAAATTTACAATTAACATTTTCAAATAAATAATGTTATTGCATCGTTGTTTTTTTTGAAATTCTAATCAAAAAAATTATCAGTGTTTTTACAAAAAAAAAAAAAAAAAGATGGCAATGTAATCTTATCTGAACTTTGAGTGCTAATCATTTACTAATAAGATAGGTGCTGATAGTATAATATTCCAAAAAATAACTCTAATAATAATAATATACTTTTAATAATAGCAAGAAGAAATTGTCTCAATAAGTGTTAATTTCAAATTTCGAATACTACTGATTTAAATTTTGTGCTTCTTTTCTTTGAAACATACTTGAATTATGAGAAGAAATTATATCGTATTACTAAATAAAGTATTTCTAAAATAATATGTATATCTTTTTCTCTTATTTTCATCTCTTATTCCTTCTTATTTTCATTCTTTTTTCTTCACTTTTCAATCATATGTAAGATATAGCAAAATGTAGCAAATTTATAATCATAAAAAATTTGTTGAAAAATTAATTTTCGGCGAATTTTTTCAACTTTTTATATCTTACAATTAAATTCTTCAAATTTTCTATTTCTCAAATTTGACCTCTAATAATAATTTAATACTATCAGTTTATTGCTCGAGATTTCACTTTCACTTTTGAAATCATACCTTTTACAGATATGGTTGTATCGTTTTGTGAAAAACTTGGTTGGACATATTTACGAAGTGTATTGGATGGTTTTTCCGAACGATTAACATTTGGTGTTCGTAAAGATCTAACAGAATTGGTTCAAATTGAAGGTATCGATGGTATAAGAGCTCGAGCTTTTCACAATGCTAATATTACAACAATTCCTACATTAGCTATCACTTCAATTGATGATATTGCAAAAATTTTACGATCTGTTGTTCCTTATATCAGGTAAGTATATTTGACTTATAGGTATATATAAATTATGCTTTTATTGAACTATCCGGTAAATTTTAAAAAGACACATTGCTTTAATGAACTGCTAATATCTGTAAAATATTGTAAGTGTTGTAGAAAGAGTAATGGATGCAATAATTATAATAAATTGAAGGTGAAAAAAATGACGAACAAAAAAAGCTAAGACATTTGTACTAGGTAAAGCTTTGTGGGATGACAGTTATGATAATAAATAGTTCAAATAGTTATGATAATCAATATTATCATAATTTTTTTAGATTTTTAGCCAAAATGATAGAGTTTTGTAAAAACTCTGATAGATAAATATTGCTCAACGTGATTCAATGTTAAATTAAATCAATACTGTTCAAAAAAGTCGTTTTAATTACTCTGTTTTACTTTTTCTTTCATATATTAAATTAGTAAATGAATTAAAATTAAATTAAAGTTAAAAGAAATTAGTTCATCCATTATTATATTTGCTTACAACTTATGTACATAACTTTATGTTTCTTAAATATTTTAAAAGAATGATATTTGAATTCATATATTGAATTTCTTGTTATATTAAGTAATCTTTTTTTTTTTTAATTTAATCTGATATTTGTGAATAACTGCACATCTGATTGATATTTCATTCTCTCTTTCTATCTTTCACTAAAAGTATGATGATTAAATCTTCGAGAATTCTCCGAGAATAATTAGAGAAATGACAAATGTAAAAGAATAAATGAAAATATATGCAAATCAGCAATTGTCACTCGTAAAGGCTATAATAAACTAAGCTTTTAATGTTTATAATCATAGACAGTGAACAGATATATACAATTATATATAAAAGATAAATGCAAATAAAATTTCTGTAAACATAGCGAATTGACAAGCTTTTTAGCTGTCATCCATTTAATTAGTAGCAATTGGGTAACAATAGTTTGATAGTAAAGAAGTGAAGTCAATTTGACATAATGGAAAGAATAGTTAAATGAAAAGATGGACTAAACAGACGACAAACGACAACACCATACGTTTCAAGGCCATCATCATATTTTAGATACATGATTGAGATTAAATTGCAGAAATTAGAAAAGAATAATTTTCTTTTCTTCTTCTTTTTTTTTTTTTTTTTGTTTTGTTTTTCTTGTTTTTTGTTTGGAAAAGATAGCATATAATTGTAGCAAAATATTACGTCATTTATAATGATATAAATGAATAGAATGATGTTTTATGTTAATAAAATTTGTTAGAGAAAAATAATAGAAAAAGAAGGGGATGGAAAAAGATTATAAATGGTAATAAAAATAATATCATATCAAAATATATAAAATATAAATTTTATAGATGAATTTCAATTTAAAAAAAAAACAGTATTTAATTGAATTATTACAAATATTTAGTATTATATTAATGGTATTAAATTTGTTTAGAATAAGCTATCAAAAAATTATGCATTTGTTATAAAAATTTTTTGTTGATTGAATAAAAATTAAATGAAATGCAACGTGAGAATTTTTCTAATTTTAATATTTATTTGAAATCTGTAGTTATAATTTTTTTTTTTTTATTTTTGTTATTGTTAATTTTTAATTTATTATAGACGTGATAACAATGAAGGATTGAATCGTTGGCTTGCTGGAGAAGGTTTAATGACAGATGTTGAAGCAGCTCAAATATTAATTCAACGTGCTCGTTTAAATCTTTCCTCTTCTCTCAGGTTAACATATTAATTTTTTTTTTCCTACATACACTGAGATGGATATCTGAACTTCTTCAAATATCGAATAATTTTTAGTAATTCTACAATATGTTACTCAATGGAAAACTTCAAATAAAGATTTGAAATTCTAGAATTTATTAGAGTTCATCTACCATCTATTGGTTCAAGTTTTATTCAACTGTATAAATGCATATTTTATCAAATTTTACCAAAATATTTCACTTTGATAGATTGAGAAAATCATGAGAAGTTAATTCAGTTATTTAAAAAGTGAAGTAGATAATTTGAAAGTAATTCTATGCAAATCGTCAGATTATTTTTTATTTTAATAAATGAAACAATTAACTTTGTAATATTCACTAAATTAATCAGCATTAAAGTATTATTTTAATGGATTTATTGCTGTTGCTATCAATGTTAAATAGAGAATCTCCTTATGAAAATAATTTTGAAGCATTTTTTTCTTAATCAATAAGATATTTGGTTTTCGACCAGTTAAAGTCAATCTAACCTGTCAATGAAGTAATTTTTCGGACAACTTATTTTTCTTATCATCGATATTAGCTTATCATTTGCAATTATCAGTTACTTGTGCTACTATTAAGTGATAGAACTATATCAAATGATAGTATATCAAACTGGAATTATTATTTAGACATTATATTGTGGCATTATTTTTGCTAATAAGTGAATTAATTTGTCTTATAAACAACAAGCAGTAAAATTTAAGATAAAACAGCTATTCTTCGCTAAAATTAATAGCCAAATGTTGAATTTATTTGTGTATGTGATTTTTTCCTTTAGTTTTAGCTTTTATATTCAATATCTTAGCTATAGGCTAGAACTATGCCTTGAGCAAGTAATAAAATACATAAAAATAAAACTAACTGTTGAATTCTTTAATCTAAATTGATCGGCCTCGAAATATTTATGCTTAAATACTTCACTATCTTGATAAACCGATATATAGTTAATTATAATATGTCGATTTGTTTAGTTTTATCCTCCAGATTTTATATTATTGTCATTTTTTATAAACTTTCCTTAAAAAAGCTTTTTTTTTATTCCAATTAAATCAATAAAACTTTTCTTAAGGACATATATGCCATATTATTGAGATCACAAAAATTAATGTTATTTATTGCGACTCTTAGTCTCTTTATGATTCCATTTTAAAATTCTATTCCAGGGCTATTGGCATATTCTCAGATGACAAAATTGATTCTTTGTTTTCCACGGTGACATCAATTTGTGAAACTAATCATGATAAATTGGATGCTATAAGCAATAATTGTAATGAAAGTAGTATGAATCCTAATTCTGTCCTTTCTTCAGATGTTAAACTTATTTCAAGTGATTTCTTCACGGTTAGTATATTCTTTCAATTAAAACATCTAAAGTTTGAATAGTTTAATCTTTTGCTGAAAATTAAAAATAAATGTCTGTGAATAACTAAAGTAAGCAAAATAAAATATTCAGGAAAAATATTATCATTAATAATTTATTTTTTTCAATATCTTTTATTTGAATTTTGATTTGAAAATTGAATTTTGTATAGTCTTGAATTATCTAGCTCATCGTACTCTGATGCTGTAAAAAAAAAACTCAAGGTTTGAATTGTATGAACAATTAATTTAGCACATTTATAAAATGAACTAGTATTGTCTTAATTGGTTTTATGCCTAATTAATTATGAGATGTAGACTTAAGATTGTTTCTCAAATTTTTTTTTTTTTTTTCACTAATAATTTTACGATATTGTCGTTTTGCAGCATGAAATTTTACCAACCACAAATACTTCTAAAAATTCGGAAGAACAAATTGCAGTAAGCAGTCAAAGTTTAATCCAAACATCAAAAGTGGTTGAAAAACGACCACCGAAAATGGAATTACTGAAAAGCAGCAATTCTGATGAAGTAGAAAAAGCTATTTTCCATAATTGTTCAATAACAAACAAAGAGAATTTGGATATTCCGGATAGATTGGATGTGGAAAATGTTAAACAATTATGTGCAGATTTTGCTCATACTTCAATGTCGGATGAAACATTGTTACGTTTTGGTTGTAGTCAGTATTCCGGTGAAATTCAACAAGTTACGCAAGCATTAGATGCTATTGCTGTTCTAGCTAACAATGAAAAATTTGATGAAATTAAATCAGAGAAGCAACAAGATAAGCTTACTGATTTGAAAATATTTGAATCGTTGAATATTTTTAATTCAACTAAAAATGAAACTCAAATGATTGCAACAACAACAGCTACAAATGGGATGAAAAATGATAATTTAGAGAAAGATGAGGTGAAATATTTTCATGATTTCAATATGAAGAAATCATCTACAATTCAGTTTAACGATGAACGTGCTATGCCACAGCAGATAACACTTCAAAGTAATCAAGAAGAAGAAAAAGAAATTATTGTCAATTCGGATGAAAGTATTAGAAATCAATCAATTTTTGATCATAGTAGTGATTTATTTGATCGAACATCTTATTCATCAATTGGTTCGCAATCATTTAATACATCAAAGAATTCATCATATTGCATAAAACGTATTGATCAACAATCAACAATTAATTGTCAATCTTTGCAATCATCACCAAGTTTTCAAAGTCCTTTGCATAAAATTTTAAAATATGGATCATCACCTGTTACTGTAACTATGGAGAATGAAATTAAATTTAATGAAAGTGTTAAAAACGATATTAAACAAAATTTCGACAGCAACCAAACAGGAACTACTGAATTTCAAATTATAGATGTTTGCGGGTACATTTAATTTATTTGGAAAACAAAATTTGACTTTGCCTTCTTTAAATTAAACTAGAATAATTCAATGTGAAATTTTAAAAAGGAAAAATTGACAGAATTTTGCTTGCAACAAAAATTATTCTACATAAATTTTCAGATCTTCTACAATATGGGAGCAATTTTTGATACGTCAAAAATATTGGAGTCAAATTGGTTTATGCATTGCAATATGCAATAAAGAAATAATTGGAATAGCATTATGCCCATTAAATGACGAATGTGTTTATATTGATTTCAGGCCAAGTGGGTTAATTTCAGTCTATATTATCATAAGTTGAAGTTTAATTGAAATTAAACTGAATTATTTCTTATCAGTCATAATTGAACCTGATATATCTCTTATTAGTCATAATTATGTTTTTTTTTTTTTTTTTTCAGAATATGTTTCTGAAATTGAAATTGATAAGCGATTAGAAGTATTGGATAATATATTAAAATCTGAACAAGAAAAGTACATTTATGATTTACTATCATTTTCACGTTCATTACGATATCTTCGAGATTTAGTCGATTCACCTATCCTTTTTAATCGCTGTACTTGCATACAAACAGTTTCATATTTAGCCCATTATCGTACACTAGATGATTCCGCTCTTTCTTTTCAGGTTTTTTTTTTTTTTTTTTTTTGTGAAATTTTAATAAAATAATTATTTGTCACTTTTAAAAATCAATTTTTGTGTTTGTTCAACCTTTTTTTTAGTGATTTCTTTAATAATAACTTTGATAATAATTACTTTATTTTTCGTAAATTTAGAATAGAAAAATTTTTAGAAATTAAAAAAAATTTTGATATATCTTAAATGATTTATTTATATATGATATCAAATTATTTGTGATTCTGTTCTATAACTATATATATATATTTTATTATCTTTCAGGATTTACTTTCACAACTTACTTCTCCAGAACGTGCTGTAATTTTAAGAAATGCAACACCACGATTACGAGCAGTAATTAATGCATTTATATGCTTGCATATGCATAATGATCTAATGTCGGCTGCTGTTCGATTATCTTCAATTAAATCTGTAGAATTGGAATTAAAATCAGTTGTTTTGTTCAGTGAAATAGAAATTACGGGTATAGCTTTTGATAGGAATAAAGCTCTAACTCTAAATTCTAAGGTATTTATACGTTATTAACATTTAAAATTTTTAAGTTTTCAATTTTCTCAACTTCTAATCTGTTTTTTTTTTTTCGATTTAAAAAAAAATGTTTTGTGATTTGAAACAAAGTTATTTTTGTTAAATTGTATTAATGATTTTAGCTTCAACAAAAATTGACCGAAATTGAGGCAAAAGCTTATGGTATTAGTGGAATTCCATTTAATTTTGGTTCAGCAGCGGAAATTTCTCAGGTATCAAAAAAAAATTTCTACATCAATGAAAATTGTTAATTTTGATTTATCATAAAAAGAAAAAAAAAAACAAGCTTTCGTTTAATTAATTTGTCTTAAATTTTGTTTAATTAAAATTTTAAATTCTGATCAAATTTAAGCTTAAACTCTGAGATAATAAAGATAATGTTAATAAATGAATATTTAAGAATGCAAGAAAATTTTTAATATACTTTTGTGCTATTTAGATACTTTTTGTACGTCTGCAAATTCCACCACCAAATGCATCAACTGGTCGACATTATTCAACAAACAAAATTGTTCTGCAACAATTAGCACCAAAATATCCTATCATAAGTTTAATTTTGGAATGGAGACGAATAAATACCGCTTTAACGGTAAATATGATAAAATTTTGTTCATATCAGTAATCTTAGCATACAGCTTGATATTATCAATGCAAGTGAAATATTTAATCTTTTATTTTCTTGCGGTAAAATTTTTTTTTCTCTTTTCAAAAATTTTAAAATGTGCTGCAAACATTTTTCAGACATCTTTACCAATACTTTTAAAATTGTGTTGTTCTGATGGACGAATTCGTGCTAATTTTATAACACATTGTTGCACTGGTCGTGTTTTAACAGTACATCCAAATGTGCAAAATGTGCAAAAAGATGCAATTATCGATGGTTTTTCCATTCAATCACTTTTCATTGTTCCGAAAGGTTTGTAAATTACTTTTAAATATATAAAAAATAAAAAACGCTGATTTGATTATATATAAAATTATTCACTGTTAAGCATATTTATTGTTAGAAATGTAAGTATATTACAGAAATTGTGAATCTTAATGAGTAGCTATTAGGTTCATTTTTCCTGCTAAAAATAGTAATAAACTATTTTTTTTTTTGATCTTTAATTTTACTCTTTATTTTATTTAAAATTAAAATTTTTACTTGTAAAATGATAATAGTACAAAATTACCATTTTTCTTTACAATTTCGTCACCAATTTAATTTTAGTATGTTTAAAGGTAGAATTCTATTATCATCTGATTATCGACAGTTAGAAATGCGAATGTTGGCACATCTCTCAGCTGATCCTAATCTCATATCTCTTTTCTTGACCAAAGATGATTTTTTCGAAATTATTACGAACAAATGGAATAAAAACGAAACATTGCATATTAAAGTAGATCGAAACAAAGTTAAACAGGTTATTAATCTTCTATTGTAATAAATTTGTACATTTTATTCTTTGTTTAAATATATTTGAAGCGAAAATACTTTGACAAATTAGATTCTAGAAAGACAGAATAAACTTTTAAAAAATAAAACTATTCTAGCTTTATTTTTCAGCTTTGTTATGGTATTATTTATGGCATGGGTGCCATATCATTAAGTAAAGAATTAGGTATATCAAAACAACATGCTCAACAAATGATCATATCTTTTTTTCAGTTGTTTCCAAGTAAACTTTAAAGAATTATTTCATCAAATCAAAACAAACAGTGCTCATTAATTTTATTAATTCTATCTTTTTGATAATAAAAAGCTACATTTAATGGCATTATTTTTGCAATGTTACAATTAAATTTGGAAATATTATCCAAATTAAAGTTTAATAAAAAAAAAATTTCCTTTCAACCAATTTTGTTTTCCATTTTTTTAATTACCACTTTCTAACTTCTTTATTTTCTCTTTATTTCTTTCCTTTCATATTTGAATCATATCTGAGATAATGTTTACTATATAAATAATGAAGTATGATAAAATATAAAGCTTCTCGCAAATATTTTTTTTTTTTCGTTGCAGAAGTACGAACATGGATGGATAAAATATTAGCTATGTGCCGAACTAATGGATTTGTGAGTACTTTATTAGGTCGTCGACGATTTTTACCTCAAATAACTTCTGCTGTGCTGCAAACAGAGTTAGCTCAAGCTGAACGTCAAGCTATCAATACTTGTATACAGGTAGATGTTAGATATACATATATGATTTTCTATACTTATTTTTAGTTGCGGAACTATTTAATTTTTTTTTTCTCTCTCTCTCTATTTGATTAAATAATCCAAAATGCGAGACTTTACGGCAAGAGTAGATGAAGTGATGATAATTTGTGGTATATTAGTATAGTCATTTTTATATATATACACATAGGATATTAGTGCAGTAATCTTTTTGGTATGCTTGATAATATTCAAATATTTGTCAGTTTTATTCATTTAATCAGATTACTTTTTTAGGCGTTCAATAATTGATGGGTAATAAGGCAAACGACATTTTTTCTTTTATATATATATTTTTTTAAGCAATCAGTTAGAATTAATACATATCATTGATAATAAATATTTGTGTACTTCTTCACACAGATAATTTTATCATTTCTCTGACAACAAATGCTTTTTTTTTTAGACTGTTTTTTAAATTTTTTAAAATAGAAAATACGTCTTATAGGGTTCAGTAGCGGAATTGTTTAAGATGGCGTTATTGAATTTACGGAAGAATTTATTAGGTCAGTTTTTTTTTTTTTTTTTGTGAAAAATTATGCGAACAAAGTTTGAAAGAAAATAGTGAATTGGAAAATCGATAGATGTAATAGAATGTAGATGATAATGATATGAATTTATTAACATACCAAATACTAACTGCACTTGATTAACATTCCTAAAAATAATTTGAATACAGAATTTTTTTTTTCATCAAAATTTGTTTTAAAAACAGAATATATTGAAAATTTTAGGAGGATTTTGAAATAGTTAACATATTCGCATATATTTACATTTTAGGTACTAATTCATCTATCGTCATGCAATTGCACGATGAAGTGTTAATAGAAACGGATGAAAGTTCGATAGCTTCAATTGTTGAAATTATCAAACATTCTATGACATCGGTTACTCCAAATTTACGGGTTCCATTGGCAGTTAAAATTTCATTTGGTAAAAGTTGGGGAGAACTTCAGGAATGTACTAAAATTTGAAGATTTTAACTAGTTGTGAGTTACTAGCTAACGATCATTACGGGAAATTGAAATTGTCATTTTCAGTAAAAGAAAATTCAGTTCTTCTTGTGTCTTTTTTCGTTATTGTGGTTCAGATCTCATTTGATTAGTATCTATCATTAAAGTTTCATTTCTTTCGAAAACATTTCCAATGTTTTATTATTCTGGATTTTTTTAAATATGTTATAACTAATTTCTATAAGTGATATGAATTATATAGCTTAGATAAAACATTTTTTTTTTAAAAAAAAATGTGATATAGATCATACTCGAAAAAGATTAGCTGTTGTTTTTCTTTTTTTTTTTCTATTAAAAAATTTTCTACATTTCAAAAGTTTTCCATTTTCATTGATCGATTAATATCATCATCTCTTATTGTATTGTTTAGCCTTTGTTCTGATTTTATTTGTCAGTGAAATTAATTTATATTTATTTATATTTATGTTTATCTATTGTCAACAAAAAAATTTATCCGATTGTAAATGATAGCATATGATTGCCAGTGATTGTTTTTGTTTATCCATTGTCAATAAGTATTTAGTTGATTATCTTTGATATTTAGTTTATATTTAACCAATTCTCATTGATATTTAATTTGCACTTATCTGATTATCAAATATATCAATTGTTTGAAACATACTGTGATCATAGATACTATTTTCATTAGTTGTACATTGAAATTATAGTTTTATTTATTTCCTTTCATAGATCTCTCGAAGTCTGCATATGAATTTCTCTGCTTTCATTCAGTATTGTAAAATAAATTTCTAAATTTACCAGTAACTTTTTTTTTTTTTAATTTACCAACAAAATTGTATATTTGTAAGAACTTTCGAGATAAAATATATTAGTAAACTGAGAATACTTATTGCTGTAAATTATTCTAAGTAAATTTATGATATATGAAGTGTTTTTGATTGCTATTTTTAACTTTAAATAAATGATAGGAAAGATAAGATTCGAATATTAATCGAATATTATTATAAACCGGAAAAAAAAGAAAAAGAAAAGTAATGATTCTAATGAATGCAAATGATAAATGAGAAGAAAATGAATTGAATAGAAGCATAAAAGTAATTATTTGATTAAATTATATGATAAAAAGAAAGACTTACGATTTGCTTTTTATTTATAATAAGTGGGAGAAAAGGAAGAGACTAAGAATGGTTAAAGGGATTCAGGTATTTTAATGTATGAAACACAAGGAAAATAATATAATTTAGCAATTGAGCAATGCAAGAGTATGAGTAAGTGACAAAAAAAAAAATTTTTTTTTTTTTTTTGTTGATTATGCTAATTTTAAATTTCAGAACAAAGAAGGTTGACAGAGTTAGAAAAGAAGCGTCCGTCAATGGCTCATTTTACAAAGAATCATTTGTTAATTAAATCTCATAACGAGGCTGTCTGTATGTAACGGGCCATCTTAGCCTGGTGAAAATTTGGTGCTTGAAGGGGAAGGCTTGGTAGATTTGACTAGCTTTCCAGGGGATTGAACTTTTCTTTATAGCAAATTGGTGGAGTAGGGTAGGGAGCTATTTCATTTTCTTTCAAGGTAATGATTTCTTAAGCTACTGAAACAATGGAGTGAGATTTGAATATAGTTTAAACTACTAGGATAAATTATATTTAAGGGTTAGTTCGAACTACTGGAATATTTGAATGGTAGTTGTAAAATAATCTAGTGGTATTTGTGTGTGGTTCAAAACGGAAATGGAATAGCCGAATGGTATTTAAGTAGCTTCTCGAGTTACAAGAATAGTTGATATTGTTTTAAATAGCTCTAAATAGTAAAATAACCGATGGTATTTCAGTGACATTGAGTATCATATAAAGCTTATCATTTCAAAAATATTATTCATAAGGCGATTACTCAAGATATTTGTTGGTATGATATTTAATTCCAACATGTTCTAGCATTTCCATCTAAATATGGATATCTAATAAGATGGAGAAAAAAGGAAAAAAATAGTTGATATCAAATATGTGTGTGTCAAAATGAAACGATTAATCTTAGTTGGAATTGTTCAGAACAATATTACGATTTATTATTTCGTGAAATTGCTGTCATCACGAGGTTTTTGGAATTTCTAAATTTCAAACTGAAAAAGTGATGTCTGTTGCTAATCGTTTACGACGAATGCATAAGCAGCCACCAGAAGGATGGGATTTGATTGAACCAACATTAGATGAATTTGAAGCGAAGATGCGTGAAGCCGAAACAGATCCTCATGAAGGAAAACGCAAGACAGAAACCCTTTGGCCTATCTTCAAAGTTAGTATTTGATGTTTTTGGAAAAGAAAAATGAATCGGGAAAGGCGAGAAAAGATGTATAACAACTGGTATATTCTGACCTCATCACCAGTATATAATTAAATGTTATGTGATGTATTTAGTAGTCGTGTGGCAGATTAGAATGACATTTATATGGAGGCATTTATAATACAAAATTAGAAATTTTTTGATCTTTTTCCAGATACATCATCAGCGGTCGAGATATATTTATGATTTATACTACAAACGTCAAGTAATCAGCAGAGAATTATATCAGTTTTGTTTGGATACCAAATTAGCGGATGAGAAATTGATAGCGAAATGGAAGAAACAAGGATATGAGAATTTATGTTGTTTACGATGTATCCAAACGAGGGATACTAATTTTGGCACCAACTGTATATGTCGTGTGCCGAAGAGTAAATTAGATGTGGTTAGTAGATCATTTTCGTTTTATCATTTTTCTTTTTCATTTTTAGATTTCTTAAACGTACAAAAGGAAAAACCGCATGAATCGATCTAGTTGCAGACTGAATCGTTGTTGACTGAAAACACATTTCAGTAAATAGAAGAAAATGTTTATGTACTAAGGAAATTAATATATAATAGGCAATGAAGAACTAGAAAAATTTAGATATTTACTGTTCAGGTTTTTGAGTAAAATTCGGAAAAAGGAAAAGAGAGGGAAGAAGCAAGCGTTGTGTTTTATTTTTGTATTATGCACCCTACATATCCTACCAACTACTGTATATCTTAATTATGACCTTTTATAGCACTTCCTGGAATCATAAATGGGTAGTACTCGATCTGTATCTTGCTTAATACACTACTTATGTTTTTCTTAAGAACATTGATGGAAATTTATGATAATTTTATGTAGTTGATAATTGACTGTTGTATTATGTAGTTCCGTGCAAGGAAGAGATTTTATGGGACGTTAATAGGTAAAAATTAAGTGCTATCTTTGATGAGTAGAAGGAGAAAATTAACCGGAGCTATTTTCAGGGCCGCGTGGTAGAATGCGTCCATTGTGGATGTCGAGGATGTTCGGGATGATTGAAAAGTTCATTTTTTTTCAACTTCAAGTAACTGAATCTGAATCTTGTATAACATGTTTTAAGAAAAGGAAAAACAAATTGTTCTAATTGCGGTTACTTATATGTGTAGGTGAAATTGTTTACAGTTTGTTATAAATGAGGAAACTTTTATACACTTTTTAAATGGATGATATAGGACTGCTTTGGATAACAGCAGTATTGAATACCGTGACTTTGTGCATTTCCATGGTACTTATGTTTATAATATATATAATCTAGAAATCTATGGAACTTTTTATTGGAGTTTTTCAAACAAAATTAGTTAAGCTTTTTATCAGGTTTTTACTGATTGTATGATAAGCTGCATCTTTTTTGAGGAGTCTAAAAAATAGCAAAGTGAAAAGAATAGCAAAATGATTCTGCTTGCTGATTAAGTCGTACGTAATTCAAGTTTCTTTCAAGAAAACGAAAAAGGCATTCATAATATAATTACGTAAGCCTTTCATATAGTTGCTGATTGAACTGCGCCAAATTTCTTCATTTATTTTTTCCGGCAATACATAATCTGTTTTTTTCTTTTGAAAGGAAAAGCCTTGGTCAACTATAGGCTATGGCTGTTTGTTCCAAAATGAAATTTTGTTGTTATATTATATATAGTTGCTAAAACTAATTTTTCTTTGAGTACTTGTTTATACAAAATAAAGGCTAATAATCATAATAATCATTAACTACCGAGATATAATGGTATACAATAATCAATATCTGAGGAAACATTAACGTTATCCCGTAAAAGCCAAATCGTCAACATATTTGTCCTTGATGTCTTCCCATAACTTTCCTTTGTTGTACTGAAAAAAAAATCACAACTCTTAGAAGAGTAATAATAGCAAGGAGTAAAAGTACCAACTAAATTATTTGTAAAGGTTTCCATATGTAGAGTTAAGGAGAGAAATCGCCGGACAAAAATAAACTGCTATTATGGTATTATATTACAAATGTTTGTATTATAATACAAAAACTTGTTCTGTTCGTTCCCAAATATCCCATTTACATAACACTAGATGGTAAAAATGATAAATAGGGACTACCTGCTTGAAGAGATAATCACCACCCTTATCAACGACCAAATCTGTTGCGATTGCACCAACAGTTAGTACCACAAAAAGGGATGAAAAACGTTTGGTAATAAATCTATACGCATAACTAGCGAGAACCATTATTCTTAAAATAAAACATTTGCAAAAAAAATCCAGCCCGCGAACTATGACTCATATAGTAGCAATCCAGAAAGAAAGAGCTATTAAAGACAAAAAAAAAAACATATTGATAAGATGATGTAGCATCTTTCGATATCAGTGGTGTTAAGAACACGAGATGAATATTCAGTGATATTGTTATAGCAAAAGCAGACTATCGATTTCAAAGAAAAAGATATGAGAAAGTCAAAAAAAATCCTAAAGTTTAGCAACTATGGAGAAAAAAAAAACAACGACAATTGTTCCAATCAGAGGAATACTTGATGTTATTAATTAAAGTATTTTACACAACATTTGAAAATCCTTGAAAATAATTTAACGAAAAATGACTACAGAAAACGTATCCTACCACATTTATTAAGAAAGTATTCCATCAATTAACAGGTTATGCCACAGAATTCGAGAAAACATCTC